TTAAAGAAATAAAATCATTTTTAGGCCTACTGGGTTACTACCGTAGATTTATACCAAATTTTGCCAAAATTTCCAAACCACTGACTAAATTACTTCAAAAAGATGTCGCTTTTGTGTTTAATGTCGATTGTAAGGAAGCATTCAAAGATCTCAAAAATATTCTAATGACAGACCCAATTCTCATATATCCAAATTTTGAAGAACCCTTTTTACTCACTACTGACGCTAGTGCTTTCGAAATTGGAGCCGTTTTGTCACAAGGCCCATTAGGAAAAGATCTGCCAATCGCTTATGCCTCACGAACATTATGCAGTGCAGAAATTAAATATTCCACAATAGAAAGAGAATTACTAGCTATAGTATGGATAGTAAAACATTTCAGACCATATCTTTTCGGGCGCAAGTTTACTTTTATCACTGATCATCGCCCTCTTACATGGCTATTTTCAATCAAAGACCCAGGAAGCCGCCTAGCACGCTGGCGCCTAAAACTTAAAGAATATAATTACAAAATAGAGCACCGTTCAGAAAAAATTAACAGAAACGCAGATGCACTCTCCAGAATAAAAATTAACCATTTTAAGGACTGTGCAGATTTTCAATCAAAACTTGCCCTGCACGCATCTAACAGCGATGAAACCGAGACAGATGAAGACGAAGAAGAAAGAGAAGACACAGAAGAAGGAATAGAAAAGATGTCCGAAGAATTCGAAAAATTTCTCGAATTATATAGAACAAAATCCATTATCGATTACTCCAAAATAGAAACGTCAAACGCAGAACTGTTAGATAAATCTCACAAGAATATTGTTACCTTTTTCTGGCAGAATAAACTTGAGGACCTGCATGAAAAAATAATGAGTGACATCTTCGAAGAAAATATAGAATACAGTAACCGAAGTATCAATACTGTATCTAGTAAAACCGTAAAAGATCGAAAATATTTCATTATCCCATTACCTTACGATCCACAAAGAGTAATGTCATACTTATTTCTCATACTTTATATGAACCAAGAACAATTTGATGAATCAAAGACCTATTGCATAGAACATAATCTCGAACTTCCAATTCTAGAAATAGTTTCCTATATATTTGCAGACAAAGAACTTTAATTAAAAATCTGCCAAAATGTAATTAAACAGGCAAGCGAAGACGAAACCTCACAAATCCTAGAACATTACCATTGTGGCAAAAATAACTTGCACAGAGGAATAAACGAAACCGTTAGATGTATAAAAGAAAAATATAAATGAAAGAACTTAGCAAAAGATGTCGAAAAATATATAAAAGCCTGTGAAATTTGCCAAAAGGTTAAAATTTACAGAAAAAATCTAAGTGAACCATTAGTTATAACGGAAACACCGAAAACGAAAACCAATTGAAAGGATCAACATAGACATATTTGAATATCCCACTAGAAACTATGCATTAACCATTAGAGATGAACTAACTAAATTCACTCAAGCATACCCTTTAACTGATAAAAAATCAGTCACCGTAGCGAGTACACTCCTTCTATTTTTCCAATATTACGGAACACCTTTAAGAATACATTGCGACTGTGGTCGAGAATTCGAAAATGCCATAATTAAATATCTATGCAACCTCTATAATATAAAATTAACATTTTCCAGAGTAAATCATTCACAATCCAATGGATCTGTAGAAAGATGCCATGCCACATTATCAGAAATGATCCGAGCAAATACAGCCAAAAATCCCAATGATCACCCATTGGTGATCCTCCCTTATGCAGTGATATGTTACAATAACACAAAAAACAAGACACACGATTTTACGCCGTACGAACTAGTCTTTGGACACACTGCAGGACGACCACCAGAAACTTTATATAATCAAAAAAGCCTAATAAGCAAATATGTTAAAGACTTTAATAACCGTATGGAATACTTATATAAAGTAGCCAGAGAGAAAACAGAACGAGCAAAAGAAAAGGCTAAAGAAAGATTTGATGAAAATATTTCAACACAACGCCCTGATTTTAAAATCGGTGACAAAGTATACGTAAAAGAATCCCAAATAAAATTAAAATCCGAAAATTTATTTAATGGACTTTTTCAAATTCAAGAAATATTTACAAATTCTGCCATTATCCTAAATCCTAAATCCCCAAACGAATCAAACTTCTAAAGTAAATTTTGACAGACTAAAACCATACTTTGAATAAATTTCTTCTTTACAGATTCTATGGACTATTCTCAGTCGCCTACTCCCAATTTCACCTCTCCCATTAATATTACAGTCGGAATCTTCTATCACGAAGAAGGTACCATTCGAATATCTAACGATAAATGAACATTACTTGTTTACAAGGAATTGCTCCCTATAAAAACTGCCATATCCAACAACGACAGAATTTTAGAAAACTCGCTAGATAAATTTACTAATGCCGATACTCCAAAAAAAACTTGCATTTCAATCTGAAGTACAAACACACATTAGTTTGATAAGACAAATTTCTAATTCCGTAAATTTAAAATACAGAGAAGTAATTGCCGACACACGAACCTATAATCCACGCCAAAAACGAGGATTAATCAATGGTGTTGGAACCTTATGGAAATCTATTAGTGGAAATTTAGACGCATCATACGGTGAATATTTCAATCAATGTATAAATAGGATCACACTACAGATAAAAGTCAAATAGAAACACTCCTAAAGAACCAAATCTCTGTGACAACTTCTGTCATAAAATCTTTTAACACTACTATCCAAAAATTACAAATAGACGAACAAACTTTTAACAAAGACCTAAACGATATCGAAACCACTCTTATAGACATTGCTGACGACATATAATTTTACCGTGCACAATTACAAACCTTAAATTTGTGTGAATAATTAATGGAAAGCTACATATTTTTAGAAAATTATCTCAATGACATTTTGAACGCCATCACCTTTTCTCAGGCGCAAATTTTACACAGTTCAATTATTTCGCCCAATGATTTACTAGATTCATCGAAAACACTATCTCACAATCATTACAAAATAATGTATTACCATTGCCCATTTATACATCAAATATAGCCCAATATATTGATACAATAAAACTTCAAGCATATCAACTCGATTCAAAAATTGTATTCGTGCTAGAAATTACACTCGTCGACCCCGAAATCTATACCTTATACCATTTATATTCGATACCAATATTAGATAATCAAACTGGTCTTTTTCATACACTTTCTACAATACATAAGTATATAGCGCAAGATGATGATTCAGTTTCATATGTATTACCCCGAAACACAGAAGAATGCAAATCAATTAGTCCAAATCAAAGAATGTGCACAGATATCCTTCCCTATCCAATAGACAGCGATACTATATGTGAAGCACAGTTATTAAAACCAGTTAGCATTCTACCAAAAACTTGTCAGATGTCGACGTTTTTAGCACAAGATTACAATTTGCAAGAAATTTACCGAAATTTATGGTTAATAACAGTATCCGATCCATTACCAGTTACAATCAAGTGTGAAAGAAAAGACATCAGCACTCAGACAATCAAAGTAAATACAATTCTAAGATTACTACCCGAATGTTCGGCATTTATTGGAAGTACTAGAGTCCACGCCAGAGACCAAATCGATAAATATCCAAATATAACCTACAGAAGTCATCCAGTTAATGTACCATGCAGATGTTGTGACCATTTTGGAAGAAAAAACCATAATACCAAATTTGAAACCATTACAACTCAATAAGATCAATGCAGACGATTTAAATATTGCACAACACAAGATGGACCAATATTCAGAAGAACTCGACCGAATCATGAACCAACCATTCATCAAAGAACATTTGCCTTGGTTCACTGTATTGTCTTTAACATTAATTATCATTCTAGTTTTTGTATACATCTTCTGCAAATGTAGACGGAAAAGATTTCCAAGACTTGTCATGAACTATCCGCAAGACTCACCTCCACCTTCGCCACATCGCAGCAGTTCCATTAAACAGAAACTTAAAGGATTAACCTTTAAAAGAAGACCAGACGTACGCCCAGAAATGAAGAAGTCTCAGAAACCCCAACTGAACTTTAAAAGTCGAAGCAAGGCATCGACTTTTCAATAATGAGGGGAGCTGTTATATGTGAAAATAGTCACCTTGAACCACTTAAGGGTTACCGACACTTTGGTTTCGCAATATCAGTTCCTATTTCATCATCCTTTCAGCAAGCGTTCCCATCGAGATAGCTGACCATGCACGGAGATCAAACTGGCCAAAGCTGGCCTTTCGTGGGAAATGCCGACACCACATTTTGTAGATAGATTATAAATTTAGGACTTTAACATTATTGTTTCACTCGTCATTCGTCCTTCACACTCGTCATTTAAGTTTGTTACTAATAACATATTTGTATTATAATTTTATTTACTTCATTTTTATCGTAGAACAAAGTGTAACGTTTAATTGTAAAATAAATCTTTTTTAAAAAGTCATTCAAGAAGTTAGTGATTTAACATATATATATATATATATATATATATATATATATATATATATATATATATAATATAAATATATAAATATATATATATATATATATATATATAATATAAATATATATATATATATATATATATATATATATATAAATATATATATATATATATATATATATATATATATAATATATATATACACAAAAAATAAAATATGGCACTTTTACAAATGACAGTTACATTATTAGGCAAAAAGAATGACACATCTGGACAATAATTGCCTAGTTAACGGATAAATCAAAGTAATAAATTGCTTCCCGAATGTTTTTAATTAGAGTTACAAATTACTACATTACTAACTGATTGTGAGTAGTCATTGTATTATCATAATAAACCAAATGAATTTTTAAAAGGTTTTGGTGTTTTTGAAAATAATCTGGTTGGAGTTGGAGTTTTGTACGCCAAAAAAGATATAAGAGTTACATGTGTATTTAATAAATAACAAATATATTTATCACTTACTAATTGTAACAGTTTATATTCCAGTTTTAGCCTCTCTAGAGCCGAATTGAGTTTTAGAATATATAATCTCTCATCGTGGCTTAGCTGATAATTCTGTACAAACCAATAACTTAACTTTATAGGATCTTGGGGCACATATTCTAAAAACCAAAAAAGTAATGTTTCCAGAGTAACATTAATATTTTATATAATCTGAATATTTCAACACGAAAAAATACTCAAAAAACCTTCTAAATAAAATTATAGATAATCAATCATATATAAATCAATATTTTAGAAAAATAAATCTCTTGGTGTCCTTCAACGCTCACAAATTTTAAAAGGTTCGGATTTATCATTCTTTAAAAACGTCTAATGTGCCATCCACTTTGAGATTTTTAAAATATTTTTTAAGGTATAAAACCGGTACTCCAAGAGGTGGTGAAAATTATTATGAGTTCCTAGACCGGTTGGACCCGATGATATCACTGCAGAAGGTGCAGGAGGTAGGTTTAATAAACGACCTTCAGGACATCAAGAACATAATCACTGATCTACTTATATTATATTCTATGGGGATTGGGGACATGATACCTAACTGGTATGTATCGGATGCGTTATCCTTATCGGATCATGCATGGAATAAGGAGCTGTTTGATCTCAGAAGAGAAACAAGAGGGCGAAGAGCAAGATCAGATGGACTATTGAAATTTTTTAACCATACAAAACTGCGGGACCGGATGGCATGTTCCTAGACTACTCCAAGAAGCACTGGAAATCATTCTCCCCTTATCTAAATAATAGTCATCTGATAGCAATTTTTAGAGCTAGCCATGCTCTGGGATACATTTAACCTAACCTATTAAACTTACACAGACTCAATTGAAAGGTTCTAGACAAGGAAAAATACGATATAAAGAAATATTTTGGGGACAAGGACAAGGAAAAAATCGATGCAAAAATGTATAAAATTGTGTGAGTTTTATATAAAAAAGCCTTCTAAACAGTTGCAATTTAATTGGAGAAAAGACGGCAGTCTATAAGATTTTTTCATTTCAAATGAATGTGATTATTAAACTTTTTTAAGAAAAACAAAAATATTCTCTAAATATGCTTGAAATAAAAACTTTGTGTTGATAATCTACCATTTCATGCATTCATTAAAGACATATCACATATCAAAAAACCCCCCTTCTCACCTAATACTAACTTCAGTTTTATTTTTGGGAAACTTACCTGCACTGTAATGGGATAGATATTTAAGTATTGACTTAACATAGTAGCTTATTTCATTGTTATCATAAACCCAAGAAGAAAAGGGGAATTGTGCCAAATGATACCTGCGACAAGAAACATAAAATGTTTTTAAAAAATATAAAATAAATAAAGTTTATATGTTTTAGTTTTTTTAACATTTTTTTTTTCTACCAAAACTCACAAATCGACGATTAAATGTCGAAAGCAAACATATTATTACGAATGTTCTGAAAACCCCCAGATTCATGAAAATGATGTATTAGCATGTTTTTTTTTTAATAATAGTTAAATAAATACGGAGAAAGAAAAAATATGTACTGAGTATTAAAGTGTTTTTGCTCTCCTAAAAGTTGTAAATTTTGACCTGTAAGGTTTCAATATTTAACCATCGAAATATTGTTTAGTAGCATACCTTCTATACTTGTAATTTTTCTTTACATCATTAAAATCTGTAGAGGTAAACGGTCTCTTCTGTTTCAAATTTAGCATCTGCGTATCACAAAGGGGGGTTGATATACTAGGTTCGGGTAATATTTGTACAGTCACTTTTTTCAGTCTACCAGTTAATGCTTTTTGCTCCATTCCGGGCACAAGCATGCATCTCTGTCTTCCGCGTGCTTTGATGCTGAGGGCGTAGTGTTTATCTTGCGTTTCAAATACTTCCATTGTAACGCCATATTCATAAACACCAGTGTGATTTGAGCTAAAAAATTCTCATCAATTAGATTAAAATACATATGATGAGGAACAATGAGTAGCACAATAGCTCCACTACCGATTCCAAACTCTGATAAAACACGAAGATTTTGTCTTTCTCATAAAGAAGCACTGCCATGAAATGCAATACTTGAATATCCAAGTAACCGAAATAAAGACAATGATTTAAGATTGATTTACGGAAAGTAAGAAAACTGACTAAAACCATATTATAAATATCAGATGTGCTTCCAGACATCGCTACAATACACACATACGCGTTGAATTTGGAATACATCGAAAATACGTGTTTAATAAGAGTAGCAGTATTCAATCAATACAAACTTCGTATCGCAAATCACGTCCTCAAAACGAGTCGTTTTAGATTTTCACCGCCCCTAAATGAAATACACGCCACTTTAAAAATAGTGGCTATCTTACTCCTCTCTCTATGACTCATAACTAGTGTCTTTAGCAAGTACAATGTAGTCTTCCAGCCCGAACTATGAAAACATTAAATCATGAGTCATAAAGAGCTGTGGGTTTTTTTGCTAGATTTTTCCATCGGATGCTTTCCCAGGTGGCGGATGAGGGAATGCTTCTTAGGTATGGGTGGAGGAAATGAAATACTCGGGCAAACCAAAAATCTAGCAATAAAAATTGACAGCTGAATCACTATATCCAAACACAAGCAGAAATCAAATGGATCAGAAGGGTCGTGAAATGTACAACAAGCGGTGCGATAGTGATTACTATATAATCGGCATTTGTACAGCGGTGCATAAACCAAGGAGAAACTAACGCACTATATTTCCCTAAAACAAGCAGTCATAACGATGGCCCCAGTTGGCGGCAGACCTTTGAGGTAAGGGAGTGCTAAGAATCCCGGTAAGGAAAAAAAAATACGGTAAGAACAGTAAGAACAATACAAGATGGATCATATACGCAATAAAGAAGTTCTTTAAAGTAAGAGAAAGAAAGAGCTAAGTAAGATGGCCACTTCCATCACACCACCAAGGTATTGATCTTATATAATAAGGTCCTTTTTCTGGTTTGATATTCTATAAGGCAATCACTATTATTCTATTACTCCAGCTCCATAAATATCTTCCAGCTAAAAAAGTTGTTGAAAATTAAAGAAAAATTTTAGACAGAAAAATTGACGTTACAGACCCCTTACTGTTTAACATTTTATTCTTAATATCTCGAAAAGTACTACATCTTCTACAAAAATGAAAAAAAGTAAAGATGTTAATTGGATTAACATCTTTACTTTTTTGCATTTTTAAATAAATGTAATTAAATTTTTTATCAAAAGTTGCCTATGGTTTCTCACAACTTTTTTAACTGGAATATACTCAAATTCTAAACAGCATTCTTAATAGCTGTGAATGCTTGGGTGCAGAGGTATGTAAAGAGGTCACCTCGACGTTAGCAAAACAAAGTTCTGACGTACATTAACATTGGGACTGAGAGTGTGGAGATTAGTGGAAACATGATAACTACGTTTCATTTGCTTTCTACCAGTAAAGATTATCCATTCCCTAGCTTCTCGTAGGACAAAAATGGATTACGAAAAAATCAGCCAATTAATAGAAGAGAGAACAACAAAACAACCTCAATCAAACTGACTTCCATTATAAGATGAACTACTGAAACTACTGAAAATCAGTCAGGAAAACCAAGGCGAAGCTCTACAACAACCAAAAAAGCTTCAGAGAGCGAACATGGGCGACCTAGCAAGGAAAAGATTTAAATACCCGTTGAAACAGTCTGGAGCCAAGTGAAACTTATCAGCAGGTACCAAATCGTATAAGAAAGCAACAAATATAAATTTAGGGTATACACGAGATATACAAACATAGATATTGGGCTACAATCACTTTTAAATATACAATCGAATTTCATATTTAGTACACAAGAAAAAATAGGCTAAAAATACTCAAAATACACTAGAACATATATTCAGATTGAATAAATAAAGATTGCTAAAAATCCATCTTTTTAAAATTCAGTATATTGATGTTCTGTCTTTATTTTAAAAGAAATTACTGAGTTATGATAATTGATAGTATAGAATAGTAAAGAATAAATTGAGAATAAATTTAAAAATGTATAATTCATTTATTTTCCTTCTGGTATGTTAAAATTTTGAGCGGCACTCATACATAAAATGACCTGATTGTGACCATGACATTGAGAGCCCGATGTATCTGTGTGTGCCTTAATTTAATACTCTTTTCCCCATTTTCCTAAATCACTTTTTTCCCAATTATTGGAATGCTTAATAGTTTTTTCTTTTGATTTTTTTTTACTGCACCTAGAACATGACCAATCAAAACCATTATTTACCATTTTTTTTTTAACTTTTGGAAGCTATACTTGTGATGAACTCATATTCTAAAGCAAATAAACTGACCGAATTTATCGTTATGAAGTAAATTAAAAACATCAAACTTTAGAATGCCATTGTCACACTTCGGTATTTCTAACTGACTTTTTGAGGGTGTGCCGCTCGCATGATATATATTTGCCAACCATTAAATATCATAATAGTGTTAGGTACAATCAGTGTCGAGTATTCAAACTTTAGTGTTTAAATCTAGGTCATATATTTCAGTTTACTTTTAAAACTTACTTTGCACATAACAACACAAAAACATTTTCCTTTTCAAGGAATTTTTTTATAATTGAGGTTTCCATATACATATTTATAACCAAAGGTAGAGTAAATCCTGGAAAGACCATAGTTGTAGTATATATTGCTAATGTGTTTATCACCACTCCATCCTCAAATAGTGTGTATCCTCTAACATTGTCTAGTTTTCCCAAGTACTAAAAAACATTTTCTTTGTAATGAAAGTTGTACCTTTCTTAAGATATCAAAATACCATCCTACCCTGTGTGTTGTAGGTAAATCCAAATCAAAATCTCCTTCTCGAGATATAGGAATATCATCATCTGAAAAACAAAAATTCAATTATTAGATCTTTATATAAAAAATTAAACAGTACAGGTTTTTCAAGTTGCCAAAACATCAAAGCCAAAATAAAAAATATATACATTTATTTTCATGCACAATACTACAACAGGCATAAGATATTGTAAAAGAAAAGAAACTGTGCAACTTCGTATCGCCTCCTCTTTCGAGTCTGTTTAGTAACAGAAATCTCTGGGTAATAAAATAAATCCGGTCGAGGTTTCAATATTGACTTTACCATTTCCAATACCTGACAACTGCTTCGACAACACAACTGCACTTTGATCTTACTGCAAAAACACTCACATCTTATTTGTCAATTGGAGCGTCTTAACATGCCGCCACAAATTGGATGATGTTGGACATGCGTTTAGTTCGTCAGCAGCAATTAATTGGGGAATAATTATTAAATAAGGAACAGTCTGAAAATACAATTATGACTCCACCAAAAATGTTTTTGATTATAACAAAAATCTTTCAAAATTATGCCCAGTCCTTGTAATAACGTCTTGTGAGCCAATGTAAATTTATCCCAAACAATTAAGTAATTGATATATATAAAATTTATTTTGTTTTATTTTACTTTATTTCATTTTATTTTATTCTATTCTATTTTATTTTACTCTACTTTATTCAATCTTATTCTATTTTAATCAAGAGGTTCTGACTTATCGCTCAGTCGACCTATATTGATGCGGATGAATGCCCTGTCGGGGTTTTTGTGATCTCAGTAGGACATTTGACTGTGTTGATCATAACTTACTCATTAATAAATTAGAAAATATTGGAATAAAATATCTCTCTCTAAAATGGATAGAATCCTACCTATCAGAACGTCGTCAGTATGTCGCCTTAATAGATGTATAACAACAGTCAGAAAATATTTGCAGATCAGATTACATTTACATTAATAAGGGTGTTCCGCAAGTTTCTGTAATTGGCCCAATATTATTTCTTATTTACTTAAATGATATTGTCTCAATAAATTCTGCTGTACAGTTTACACTTTATCCAGATCATAATTCAATACTTATATCAGATAATTCACATATATCTCTTGAAAATAAATGTAACGAAATCTTGTGTGATCTTAGTTATTGGTTTTTATCAAATTACTTATATCTTAATGCGGATAAAACACATGCTATTTATTCATTTCCTCAATAGACAGAAATATCTGTTAGATATCGAACTATCAATATATTCTAAACAAATTGAAAAAGTTCAATGCCTAAAGTTTTTGGGTTTGTATGCTGATGAGTGTCTCAATTGGAAAAGGCAATGTAAAGATATTATTTTCAAAATAAACTCAGCCTGCTACCTACTTTGAAACCTCAAAGATATACTAAGTGAAAACAGCTAATTTTGCTGTATTATTCTCAGGAGTCTCGTTTGCGGTATGGCATAGTATTTTGGGGTACGTCTTGTAAATTCAGTGAAGTCTTTCTATCTCAACGGAGAATAATCCGTTGTATTGCTGGTATTTCTCGAATAACTAGCTGTAAGAGTTATTTTACTAGATATAAACTTTTAACTGTGCCGTGCTTATATATTTTTGAAGTATGTGTTTTTATTCATTTAAATCTTGAGAAATTTAAAACTAATAGTCAAATTCATAATATAAATACAAGGCAGAATCAAAAATAACATGTGCCTTTTTCTAAAGGTAATATGCATTTTTACTCACCTGTAATAATTACTGACATTACTTTAAGTATATGCTAGTAATTTTACATTTTCTATTTGTGTTTCTCTTGTGTATGTATTTGTGTAATCTTAGGTTTAGCGTAATTTTATATTTATATTTATATTTACTAATGTCGACTTTACACTACATGATTTATCATGTGATTATCATATGATATGGTCATGAAGTCAAATTTCTATGTTCACACTGTGTGATTTGTCATAAGCAGTATCATGCGGCTCGTCATAGCTTGTCACAGGAGAATAGGACGGTACCTATTCCGCATGATAAAATCATATGATTTTTGGTAAAAATATCGGACACCAAAATATTTAAATATCGCGCCTTATTCTTATGCCAATTCAGCGACATACCCTTACCGAGGGACAACATTATTTATTTATTTATTGTTTTTGCATTGATATTAAGCCTATTGTCTAATATGTGCTACTGTGCCGTATTTTTCTTTTATTATTTATTTAGTTTATTTTATTCTTAGTTTAGTGTTTTATAGTCATCTTAGTTATAATTTTAGTTTAGATTCTTTATTAATTATTTTTAATTTGGTATAATATTAACACTAAATTTGATATACCCCATCCACTATTTCTTCGTAAGAGTCACCTGCGAGCCCAAAGGCGTCTTATCTTTTCTTCTTAATATTAGATGAACGCAGTTGTTGCCGGCGTATTATTATTAAAATTTCAGAAGCCAATGCAAGCAAAGATTTATTTTCCATTATAATAGTTTAAAAATCTAATAGTTATTACCTATACTGTGTCTAATATCTCTATGACCATAAACAAAAGGAAAATCAATAAAAGCTCATTGTCACTCATATCATAAGTCATAACTTATCATTCGGTGTAAACCATCGAGCAAAAAGACAAAAGAGGGAATGTAAAGGTAGTGGGGGCAAAAATATTGTTAGACAGGAAGTGCGATCTTTAGATGCCACTTTAAACAAGGAAATAGAGTCTCTCTCCTTGTTTGACATCAAATTTAGTTGGGTTATGTTATTGTTTGTCCCAAATGTCACATGAAATCTTATTTATATTGAAGTTTTTTTAACAATTGTGTCGCATTTTAGACTATTATCGTTAATAATTAATTACAACTTTCTCGTCTAAGACACATTCTGAAAAATATTATATAGCTACTGTTAATAAGTGTCGGAAAATTTAAATTTGGCGCATTCGCATTTCCGGATATGACCGCCATTAGAGGCCACTTTTTTGGTCTCCTTTTCATAAGGATTAGATTCCCTCTTTTGTCTTTTTGCTCGATGGTGTAAACACGATTTTTTTTAAACATCATAGAAACGAGGAATCATAACAAATCTCATATGATATTGTCATATGATAAAATCATGTAGGTATTGTAAAGTCGACATAATTTTGCTTTCTAAACTCTAAACACAATAAAAAAAATAATAATTATTTAATTTGGTGGAGTCATTTTGAAGTGATGCCTGTACAAACAATTTGGCAATTCATTTTTATTAATATAGATAAACAGTTTATTAATTTAATCAATATTGGTTAACTGTAACTTTTAAAAAATGAATGAATACACACAAAACTTTACTAAGTAATGCTTTATTATATTTTTTGTAATTCTCTAAAGTAAAACTTTCCTCCACCATGTGGAGGAATCTTATAATACACTGAACAGTAAAAGTAACTGAACACATGAAATTTCATAGCTTTCTCCTTTTAGTTTTTTAAACATCTATTATAAATCTAAATATCTATTTGTTTGTTTCTTCTAACAGTTACAAAGTAAGATTTTTTGTGACTAAAAAGAAAGTTTTTATTAAGGTGCCCTCAATCAACTGAATATTTACTTAAAATAATGCTTGTTAAATTAATTGCATCCCTTTTTATTGTATGTTGGCTACTTTTTCAGAAAGTAGAAATAAAAGTTTTTTTAATAACTAAGAATAATTTGTAGTAAGGCCAGATCAAGTAGCACAAACTATTGCTCTTCATAATGATAAACATTCCATTTGATATATCAAAGATATGCTTGGCATTCTATGAAGTAAAATATTTGATGTTTTACTAAGATTTTGAGAAATTCGTTTTTACTCAAGAAGACCAGTACAGGAAAGACCAAGCTCTTTGGATGTAGCTCATCAGAGACAATGCTTAGAATTCTAAGGTGCTAATGAAAATTGAGATATGGAAGATTGGAGAAGGCCTGGAGAACACTATGCCCGATGTTGCTTACCTCTGAAAGTACAGTTTGGAGGTGGAGGTATTTCCGTGGAAGCATATACTTATCTTATGTTACGGGCAGGTGGCCTTAATACTGATGGGTATATTAGGGAATGTCTAGAAGAACATGTGTTAGGCAAAGCCAAAATAAAAGGTCATCCCACCAAGTCAGATCCAAGTCCTTCAAAACCTCTTATAGATCAAACAAAAAAGACTGCTTAAAGGTGGCAATGCACCAGAAGTTGCTGAGAAGGATCAAAGGAAGAAAAGTGCTGACTATTTAACATAAATTCTTCATTCACATGAAACAAGGAGAAATCATTGGATAAACATTTTTTAACTATTATATTTTAAACTTTGAAAAATAAGGCTATTATCGAGCATAGCATATAAGTTTAATTAAATCTTGCCCAAGTACTTTCGCTTAAAATAGCATCTTCAGGGGCATTTCGTCAAATATAAGCTATCCAGCAAGCGTAGAATGTGAAAAACATGAGTAATAACATAAAATTGTACAAAACACTACACTAAAACAAGGACAAACAGTTTAAAATTACTTAAAAGATTCTACGCACTAATTTTTGTACAATTTTATGTTATTACTCATGTTTTTCACATTCTACGCTTGCTGGATAGCTCATATTTGATGAAATGCCCCTGAAGATGCTATTTTAAGCGGAAGTACTTGGGCAAGATTTAATTAAACTTGTGCTCGATAATAGCCTTATTTTTCAAAGTTCATTTACTCGAGCATTCAACCTTATATCAATTATTATAATTTAAACAGATACAATTGAGCATTTGAAACCATGTGGCTTTTCCAATTAATAAACAGGATCTAATAACAATCAATAATTATAAAATAAACAAAAAGAAAATGTAACATCTGGTGCTAATGAATTGGATCAAATATTTAGTCAACATTACTACTGTGTGGAGTCACCCTTACATTTTAAAACAGCATCAATTCTCTTTAGCAAATTGCCTATTAATGTTTGGTAGTAATCTGGTTAAAAGTTATTCCACATTTGGAGAACCATTTTGTCATAAATTATTTTTTTAATGCTTATTAGATAATATAATTTTCAGAAAAAATTATATAATATATATATATATATATATATATATATATATATATATATATATATATATAAGATATATAAGAGATTTTATTGGATAAATAAATATTTATGACTGATGATGGGTGATAATCCAATTAATTTGTGCCAGAAATTACATTTTCTTTTTGTTTATTTTATAATACTTGTAGTTGATAACCATATTAGATATTGTTGACTACTTAATTGGTAATACTAGATAGTATCAAATAAACTTAATCCTATATGTTTAATTTATAATAGTTAAATAAATTCTAATTCGGAAAAATACGATTATGTTGGATATTGGTTTTGATCCAATTTATATGCATCTGGGCTTGTATACCTACCAAAAGATATAACTACGGTGACCATGTATTTTTTTTTGAAAAAAAGTACAAACATACAAAAATGTAGTAAAAACGCAAAATGAATCTTTTTATTGGACAACTAACTTTTTGGCATTGAAAATAAAGGATAAACTATACTAAACATTAAAACAATATGTTGCTAAACAATAAAAAATTATATCAATTAAACTAAACATTATATTAACTATGAAAAACTAAAAATACTGAAATTAAAAGTTTTTAGATGAGGGACCTGGAATAGCCTCCTTTTCTTCCGGTTTTTTGTACCATTCAAATTTTTCGGAACTTAATATTAATTTAAGAAGGTCCGGCTTCGACTGAAGCAAATGAAACATTTCATTACAAGTCTCGTCAAAATTTACATACACCTGCATCGCTGCCTTGAGAGTGGAAATGGTCATTTGTGACTTTTCCGACGTCCAATAATTATTTATTACAGAAAATAAACGTTCGATAGCTGCACTAGTACCCGGAAGAAAAAAAAATAAATTCGCATATTTGTAAGTTTTTCAGTTTCAATTGATCTACACACTTAAAAACTTCAAGCCATCGATCCTGACTATTTTTTTCTTCTCTGTTTCACTCAGCAATTTTTTCACTTGTAGCCACATCTTTTAAAATTCCCAGTTCGTCAAAGAGTTGATCTTCATACAAAATAGTTGCCTTGATATACAATTTAAAAGTTTCGAGGGAATAACAAACATCTTTCCATGTTATTTCACTTCTTAGATCTATCCATTTGAATAGTTTAAATTCATTTAGATTTGTACTCCAGTTTTCTAGGTAGGTTACACATTTTGTGTAAAAATGTTTCACTTGTGCAGTGAAGTTTTCAGTAGCGGCTTGCCCGTCTTCAACTTTACCAAGACATTCCCTCACTTTAAGCGGCAAAAATAATGCGTCCAAACGATGTTCTAACTTGTTTTTAAGATTAAAATATTCTTGGGCAGCCTCTGTCGCATTTGTTTTATCACATTATGAACCAGCCACATCCACATCTCTGCAATGGGATTATTGAAAAATTGTGGGACAATTTTCAGATGATAGAAAATAGGCTTTAAGAGGTTCAAACATTTGTAAAATCCGTTCAATTGCAGGCATCATGTTTAGAAATCGTGTTTTTGAAAATGATATCATTTTTTTGTATTCATAATTAACCGCTTCACAAAATGACTTGAGTTTATCAACTCTACCAGTGTAAATATAGAAATGCTTATAAATTTTTACTGTTATTACTTCGATATCAATTGGTAAAACATCAGTAGCACGTTGAATACTATTGTTGAATATGTGAGCAACACATCCAATACCGATTAAAGGTCTCCCGCAAGAATTATTCAACTTAGTGAATAAATTATTAGTTCCCTGTCTTTTCATTCCACCAAAAATTAGTGTTTGTGTTATCTGCTATTAGTCCAACAATCTTATTAACAATGTGATATTTTTGTAAAATATTTAATACATGATCATGTAATTGATAGGATGTCTCACCTGGTAAATCCACTAACTGTAATAATTTTGTTTGAATGCCGGTTTTGCTGTCACAGTATCTTACTAGTAAAGGTACTAGTTTTGTATCCTTGTGATCAATATCAAATCAATTTGGAAGTATAATCTAATGATCTAAAACTGTGCATATGCCTAATGGTGTGGTATGCAAATGTCCCTTCTTTGGCTGCAATTATCAAGTTCTCGGAGCTGACACTTGCGGATTTAAAAAATGAATGTAATTTATTGCTTCTAGTCACTGCATTAGCTGCCATTGTGTGTTTCTTCTTTCCCAAATGAGCTTTAATATTACTTCGTCCACTGTTGGAAATATCAACGTCACTTTTACATATTTCACAATAAATAATATGCAGCGATGACACAGATTTGACTTTCATAAAAGGGTAATCCCTTTGTAGTTCTGCATTAAAATGACATTTTCGTCCAGGCGGAGACATAATTCTAAATTCTAAAACGTTTTACAAACAAACACTAATAACAGTACAGTAATACAATACGTAACACTTCAATGCTCAATGGTTAAACACGATGACGACGAACAACCAAATGGACCAATGAGCCAAACCATAACTATTCACTATTTGGCGACGGTCAAAGCCGAAGGTCATTATCTGAATGCTTGTTCAGATGCAACGTTGCACATTGGGCCCAAATTTAAGTAAAAGTGCCAAAGAGAATTAACTGAGGAGAGAGTCTAAGGTAATTGTTTAAAAATAGTAAAAAATAAAAATATTCCTTCTTTTAGAAAAAATAAGTACATTCGCGTGTCCTTAGAAAGGGTTTAAAGTACATTAGGACAATATTTAAAAAAAGTACTGTCCTACTTAAATAAGTACATATGGTCACCGTAGATATAACCTGCACAGGGAGTAAATTATTATAATAGATGAGTATGATATTTATTTTGTATTCATCCTTAAGAATGTAACCCTTACATTCAGTGTTTTGTAAAGTTGGTTCTTATAGACCTTACTTATAGTTTTTAGATACAAAATTGTATGGTTATTGTAGTTTTCATATAGTCGGTATTTCATTATCTATTACCTGTAACTGTGTATATAATTTTTCTTTTTAGCAACAGTTATGGTTTGATAAACAAATTAAACAGCCTCACCTGTTCACCAAAGAATATAGACACATATGCGCCTATATTATTTGTGTTCACAACCAGTGAAACATTCAGAATGTCTCCATTAATGTTTAGGGCTACTGTCTTATTTCAACTTTAATATCAACAGAATTGTTACATAAAATAGTGTATTGCTACAGAACGTCTTATAAATAAAAAAAAACTAAATATTTAACCTATTCTAAAATTATATTGTTTATTTTTCAGTTGTTATGAAATATGAAATGTAAGCATTCAATAAAGTTAGTAAACGGAGTAAATAACTTAATAATGGTTATAAAAGGGGTTAGAGTAATTTTTCTACAAGGTACTCAACAAAATTCCACTAATTATCCAAATATTGAATGTTGTAAATAAATTAAAAAACAACCTGATGTATCTGAATCAACAACATTGGCTAATGGCTGCAAAAACATTAAAATGCTATTGCTAACGTTTTCGTCTTCATCTGCAGTTTCCACATTTTCTTGATGTTGTGACATTTTCGATTACTGTAATATTTGTAAATAATACCAAAGTCTTCTCATAATCTCATTGCACTGCACATCTGCACAAATGACGTCTGAGTCACAATACATATATGATGGTCACAGAAATTGTTCATTATTCTGTGATACGGTCATGATACGTGATGATATTCTCCATTCGCTTAGCTAGGGCATATTTTGACAGATTCATTGTCGGAAACCTACAACACAACAATTCCTACTTCTCAGTATTAATAGCTCAAGTATACTACTATTGCAGACTTCTTTCTTTGAAAAAAAGAAGAATTATTCTAAATAGTGGAAGTGTATACTAAACCCATCAAATTTTCCCTGTATATTTAAAATATACTATTTGAGTTACTACAATTTAATATTATATTGTAGTAAATATTGTTGTTAGTTCTATTTAGTTTATTTAGTTATAGTTCTATTTTGAATTTTATTATTAGGGATAGTCAAAGTTTTCCATTTGTTCTATCAGATAATGCGTTGGTAAGTTTTTCTTAAATAAATATGATAAATGTTCTTTAAAAGTTAATATTTTTAGATGATTAATAGGATGCTGTTAAATTACAAGGTAATCAACGTGCACAAAGATTTATTTAAAACACCAACCATTTTTTTTAATTATTTGCTCATTCGGCGTAGGTTGATCACTAAAATATATTTATGAAGTTCTGTAAATATATTCTTAATAAAAAAAAACATTTCAGTTAACATCTATGTATATATAGCATGTATAAAGTTTCTATTATATATAAAATGTATATTATATATAAAAAAGTTACAGTAATTTGATTTATACCGTTAAGTTGCTCCAAATGTAGGCAACCAACTTAAACTTTTTTGGCATTTAGCTGGAGTTTCTTGAGAATATATTTTTAATAAACGTTTAATATTTTCCAGTTAATTTATTATTTTTTAAAAGTCATGATAATAATGCTGAATAAGCAATATTTTAAATGATATTTAATCACAAAAGTACTTAATATTATTTTATATAATCTTCATAAAGTACGTTTCTAATAGAAATTAGCGAAAATTAGAAAAAAAACTAGTTTATGATAGTAATAATAGAATATTATAATATTTTTGAATTATATTTTTGATGATATTGTATTATCTTTTTGATGCATAATATTTTTCAATTATAATATGAATATTATATTTTTTATCTAACATACTTTATGAGGATTATATTATATAACACAATATTAAGTACGTCTTGTGATTATATATCATTTGAAATATGGCTTATTCAACATTATTATCATCACTTTAAAAAATAATAATAAAATTAAATATATTCTCAAGAAACTTCAGCATAAATGCTAACAAAAAGTTTAAGTTGGTTGCCTATATTTGGCGTAACCAATGACGTATAATATATATAGACTCGGTGAACGCTTTAAAAAGTGTCCAAAACATGAATACCTTTGTCACAGAATAATAAACACCTTTGTTATTGTTTATTGTTTTGATACGAAGGTGCACGAAGTTCATGGTTCTTACGAAGCATCACGAAGTTCATGGTTCTTACGAAGCATCACGAAGTTGATCTAGTGTTTGAAAATATCATGGACGTATGAAAACATTTTCTCCATTTTGTGTGACAAGCAAATTTTATTTTAAATTGTTGAGAGTTATTTACTTACTATTTTAGTAAAATGCCATACTATTTTATAAAAATAATTAGTTCTCTTATAGACGGGAAGAAAAAGAAATCATAAATATTTAATTTTAATTAAAAAATGATTATTCTCATTAACATATAAATGAGCACGCCGCTGTTGTGATAAACATACCTTCAACCTTGAGCCGAGATCTTTCGGACACTCGATTCTATAGCGAGAATAGGGGACTGCGTAGTCTATATATTATACGTCATTGGGCGTAACCTAACGATATAAACTAAATTACGGTAACTTTTTTATAAAATATATTTTTTACATATAATAGAAACTTACTATCTTTATACGTGCTATAAATTTCTAAGTCATATAAGTTTGCAAAAGAGGTCGACGAAATACTTTAATGAAATGCGCTATGAGCACGTGTGCTTGGTCGTATAGTAATTTCCAGTCACTTCTATTCTGTGCTTCTAGTCTGTCAAAAAGTAACTAACTTCATAAAAACATAATTACTAAAATCACTAGACAGTTAGACAGTTCGGACTGGGATTAGCGAACCGGGTATATATATTATACGTCATGTTGTTCTAACATCATAACATAACCTCTGATTCTAATTTAACATAATTTGTTTTTTGTTTTGGTATGAAGTTGAATTTGATGATTTGAATATTGAATATGAATACGTTTATAATATATGGAGTTGTGCTGTGGTTTATTTTAAAGTTTTGATGATAATTACATACATTTAATGTTTCCACGGTGTATGTATGATACAAAACAAGGTTCAAATAGTAGTAGACAATCCATCTAAAACAATTTAAAATTTATATTGTGAATTCTAAAGTATTTTTTTAGCTTAAAAATAGAAAACAGGATAATGTCTATGAAAGGTTCTTCTCCCTATTCAAATTCATATAATAATCAAGACTACGAATTTGATGATGATAAATATGAACATGAGGATGAAAAAGAACAACAGGAACACCACGATGAGAGTAATGAAGATACAGAAGATGCAAGTGAAACAGATACAGGTAGAATCATGATTACAATAACTACTCTTTAAATTAAAATATATTTGTGAAACCTCCAAGATTCTTACAAGTTGACTAATGCAATGAGTAGGATACAATATATGTATGATTTTTGGGAGTCATAATTAGTTTTTGCATGGCTTGCATTTTGCTCTGAATGGCTTAGCCTTAATCTGTATCATAGGAAATAAGACCATCCAGAAATTTTTTTAGTGTGTTTTAATACATGTGGAAGCTATTTGTCTATTATAATATTCTGTATTGCTAGTGTACTTTTTTCTGAAATTGTATTTCACTTTTGTTTGATTTCATTTACTTTGGTGCTATTTTGGTCCCTTGTATAAAATATAATATTTTAAACTACTGTAACCAAAATACACTAATTCTTCTATAACCTTTTTCTGACTTATCATGTTTAAATTTATTCAGAATATCTAAATGGCACTTTCAACTGAAATATTCATCCTGAATGTTATTTGATATTTGCTTATAAATGAGTCGGCTAGATGCAAAACTCTGTATTTGCAAAAATTGTAAAAATTGAGTTTTAGCTGACAGTTATTTGTCACATAACACATTTGTTATAGCTATCTGCTGATGTAGAAATTCAGCAGCAAACTAAGGTATTTACTAAGAAAAAGGCATTAGAAATCTTGAGTCAGACGCAAAACTCTGTATTTGTCAGCATATGCCAGTTGCATAACTGTGTAATTGCAATTGGCCAATCGCTTACATTGTTTGAGTCACATGACGCGTCTCATGTGTACAGTTGCGGTCACGGAATAGTTTACAGGTTCACGTATCTAGGAGCCCATTTTTTAAATTTTTACTTCGTTTAAACGCACCTTTTACGTCAAAGTGACGTTGCCAGTGGTGTACTAGCTAGAATAGGTGGATTAAAATTAAAATATCAAAATATTTTACAAAATGAAAAATATAGAAAACAGTTTTTTGAATAAAATGGATTATGATCTTAATAACGAAAATAAAGAAGTCTTTTTTTTTTAATATGCATTTTATTTTAAATCTATTTTATATTAAATAACGATAAACAATGATAAATAATAATTAATATTTGGTGAAAGCCCCATTCTTGTCAATACAATTTTGCAGTCTTCTGTTCATAGATAGCACCAATCCCCTCATGTTATAGTTAACAAGCTCTTCCCATGCCTGCTCAATTGCTTCCCATAATTCAATTCTATTCCGTGGTCTAAGGTTTCTTTCATTTAGTTTCTTTGTTAACTCTGCCCACACATTTTCGACGGGGTTAAAGTCTGCACTACGGGAAGGCCACGGAAGAACATTAACATCAGTTTCTTCTAGCCATTCTCGAACAATTCTACTCGTATGCACCGGGCAATTGTCATGTTGGAAGATAGTCGTTGTTGGGGAATCTCTGGATCACCGATGGCAACATTGTGTGCTCAATAATATGTTTGTAATATAATCCTGTTAACTTCTCCTCTACATGATAACAAACGCCCGGGCCTTCGGCACTTATCCATCCCCATACGTTGACAGAGAATCCTCCACTATTTCTTAAATGATGCGTATACTGTTCATCATACCTATGATTTCTCGGCCTATAAACTCTTATTCGACCATTATTATACGACTGAAATACTTTTTCATCGGAAAATACAACCCTTGACCAAAAATTCTCATCGCGGTTTATAAATTCATTACAAAATTCAACTCGTCTCCTCTTGTGATCCTCAGTCAAAAAAGGTTTCCGTGCAGCTACACAATTTAGCAGTCCACTTGCTTTAATTCTTCGACGTGCAGTGCGAATACTGCCTGGAAACGCTGCCTCTTCTCTTGCCTTTTGAGCTGTGGCAAAAGGAGATTCTCTCAAATAATCTACTAACATCTCATCCTGTTGATCTGTGGAAATCTTCTGCCCTCCTGAACCGCCCAACCGTGCTATAGAGTGAAAATTATCCCATCTTTGTTTAATCTTCCATATGCACATATGACTCACGTTCAAATCAGCAGCAACTTGCCTTAGTGACCAACCTTCTTCGAGTTTGGCAATTGCTCTTGCTTTTTGCGCATAATTCAAATGTATTCTAACCATTTTGGAGTTTAATATACTTTTATTTTATTGTTGAACACTCGCGAAAGCATTGACGTTTTGAAATTTTTTGACTTTGACATTTATCAAATCCGTACGACACTGCAATTTTACAGTATTACAATATAAAAAGTAAGGTGTAAACTATTCCGTGACCGCAACTGTACATGTCAATTATTCTATCATTCGCCATTACCTGTTTCACTGTTTGTTATTTGAGTACTAAAAACACCAAGTTTATTGCAAATAATTAACATTATGGATCTTCATGTGCATATTAGACCTTGTGAAAAAGGAAAAGGGAGAAAACGAGTTGTACAA